AAGCTTTATTTTCCATTGTCTCGCCTTTCTGCGAAATTTGACACTGATGAGTCATTGTGTTTACAGCTGGATGACCTTGAGAACATCTGGTGTTGGATTTTTCCGGGCATTCTCATAGACGTCTCGGGAGGACAAGGGTTTAAAGTAGGGTGACTACTAACTAGGCCTATATTTTTAAAAAATTATAATTTTTGTGATTTCCGACCCCCTAATTAATTAAACATATATATAATAAAATCTATTAATTAAAAAAATTAAAAAACTATCGGAGGTTGTTTTTGACATCAGAAACTAGCTTTAAATAACTTTACCGAAGGAAAATCGGTGCACTACAACTTTAGAACCATGAAATAAATTTGATAAAAAAGTCCCATTAAAAAACAATTAAAAAGCAATAAAGCGTGAAGCGCACATCATTAAAGGTTGATTAAAATTGCTAGAAAATTTTTTCGCGCGGGAAAAAAATTTTGAAAAAATTTGGGGACCTAAAAAACATTCCAAAAATCAAAATTAAGTCAGGGACTGGCTGTAGTTCTTAGAATGTGTTTTGGTGCTGTTCTTTATATAAATATTATTTTTAAAGGTGTTTATATGGAGTAAATGCTAATTATGTATTTTATTTTAATAGGTTTAGAAAATATATTGGCTAAAACTGCAGGTGATTATTGCTATGGAGATCAAATAACATTAGCAGATTTGTGCCTTGTTCCACAAGTTTATAATGCTGAAAGATATGGAGTAGAGATGTCAGAGTTTCCTATTATATCTCGTATCAATGGGAAACTTCTTTCTCATGAGGCATTTATCAATTCTCATCCATCTTGTCAACCTGATACACCTAAGATTTAAGTTTATTTCAGATTTTGTATTTTTTCATTTAAAAATGAATGAATTTGTTATAATGTATTTTTTATGAAAAATGTAATATTTTTATGTAATTATATCCCATATAAAATAAACTTTAGGACTGAAGTTAACAATATTTTTTTACAGTTCTTTCTCTGTATATACATATCCACTAAAACATCAAATTTCTGTTGTTAGCCTTTATTTCTTAACTACAGTGCAATGCGGAATTATTTGCCAAAAGAATTTTTTAAAATTACACTGAGTTATTTAGAATAAGTAGATGTCAAAATTTTATAATTTTTAACATAGTGACCACACACCAAATACCATCCTGATTGTTTTTGCATAGTTTTTGTTTGGATTAATCAGTCATTTCACAGTGGTGCAAAATTTCACACCATATATGTACAAATAAATTACAATAGCAATAATATACAAATTTGTGATGCATAATGCCATAGGTAAGTAGATACTGCATTTTTCATTACTTAAAAACAAAGTGTAAGTTGCAGCTTAAACTTTCAGCACATTTTTAACTATGCTTTGAGGAAAAGTGCTAACTAACTTTGAAAAAGATCAAAATCTTGATTTACACTCAAATGGGCAGTCAATAAATGAAATATCTGCTATCATTCAATGCTCTAGAGATGTGATCAGAAAATACAATAATCCTGATGGCTGTCACAGTATGAAACAAAGTGGAAGGCCTTCTTCACTCTCCAGCCTTGACAAAAGAATGATTTGTTGAGCTGCTAGCAATAGAAACATTACTGCAAATCAAATCCTACTTCAAAATAGACCATTGAAAGAATGCTTTGCTCATCATCTCATGTAAAATATTCAAAAAAGATGCCTAACCCTGTCTGAAAGATCACCATAAGATAGCAAGAGTTGAATGGACAGATGATTTGGACAACGAGTGACATGAAATCATTTTCAGTGATTTAAAAAAGTTCAACTTGGATGACCAAGTGAATATCAACATTATTGGCACGACAAAAAAAAGAGCAAGTTTATTCTAACATGTCCAAAGCATGGGTGAGTAATGATTTGGACAGCTTTTAGGTGGAAAGAAAATCTGAAATTGTCTTTCTAAATCAGCAGATGAATGCAACAACATATCAAAAAGTGCTAGTAGAACATCATCAAATATCCACTACTAAAAAACCTTATAAACTGCAGCCATATTTATTAGCAAATTCAAACGTTTTCAGTCATCTTTAATGACCTTTATCAAGAACAAAACTAAATCGAATGCTGACAGATTTGTATTAACGATAAACACATTTTGGAATGTTTTTTAAAAACTTTTAGTGTGCAATCCTATCAGCACAAGATTGCGCACTAAAAGTTTTTAAAATACATTCCAAAACGCATTTATCGTTAATACAAATCTGTCAGCATTTGATTTAGTTTTGTTCTTGATAAAGGTCATTAAAGATGACCGAAAACATTTGAATTTGCTAATAAATATGGCTGCAGTTTATAAGGTTTTTGAGTAGTGGATATTTGGTATGAAATGCAGTCTATGAAGAGATCATCATCTAATTTGCAAAAAAATCAGAAGAGAAAAATGGAAATTCCAACATAATAATTGATATTCAATGCAAACAGTGGTTTATCAAACATCATCAGTGTAATTGACTTGCCAGCAAACAGATGTCTACAAAACATGGTCCCTTAATGACCTTTTTCAGGTAAGGAAACAAGAAATGTCTGCAGGAGAATATACACGGTGATCCAAAACAGTTACACCATGCTGAACAAAGAACTGACAAATAAGGATCACATATTGCACTGGCATGTTGTAATGCAGAAAAAAAAAACATTTTCCAGTTGTGGAACTCTGGCTGTACATGCCAGATATACTGCAACAAACATTTCAGAACTTCAGGTAGAATACAGCAGTCATGGTTTGACTGGCAGAAACAAATTCCATATGACTGATTCCATCTTTGTCCAAAAATGCAATCAACTTGTCTTGATCTTTGATTTTTGCACGTGATATTTTTGGGGCCAGGGCAAAGAATGTGACTGCTATTCCATTGATTTCCTCTTCAATTCAGTATCAAACTGGTAACAAGTGTCATCCACTGTAACAATGGACCCAAGAATGGATCCTAATCACACATGACAATAAAATCTCCAAAAGTTTTGAAACATCTTTCTCATTGTTAGTCTGTGAGGACATGCAGCAAAAATCATGAACAAATCTAGTGCTTACCCAAATCAGGAGATGAAGTGGGAATTAGCAAAGAAAATGCAAATCTTCTCCAATCAATTGCACAGTCAGTTATTGATCTGTTTCTAGTAAGCTTCACAAACAATCATGTCTGGTATCCTACTTGTCAACAACCAACCAAATGTGGATCAACTTCCAACTCCTTACCATTGCAAAAACATTTAAACCAGCCATGCACATTTTCTGCTCACAGAATCATTTTTGTACACTTTGATAAACATTTCATGTGTTTCCACCACCATTTTCCTCAATTTGAAGCAGAACTTCATGTTGTTCTGGCATTCCATTGCTTGTTGACACCACCTCTCACACAGACTGCTCAAATGACTGTGGTGGAAACCTACTTGCAGTCACATGTATTCCACATTAGGAGGCCCTTCTACATCTCTCTGTGGATGACCTCATGCATGCTAGAACTTGTTGTATGCATTGCATTCGAGATATCCTCACATTCACAAAACTTTTAAGACACATCATATACATATATCTACTAGCTTGTTATGCCCAGGTTTATAAAGTCCCTGTGGCCGTAACTGTTACAACCAGCATTATTAATTGTAAATTTCAAAAAATGTATATGGTAAAACCTATTTTAAGAACATTATCAAAATGCCTATAAACTATGTGGGAAGTATGTCCTTGTAAATAGCCAGTTTATAGAAAAATTATTAAAATTAATTTGGTATATTTGGTTATGTCTAAGCAACACATGGATGATCTGCTGAGGGGATGCCTCCCGTGAGGACTTTTTTGGGAAACTGTCACCTATTTAGATGTTACTAATGTGAAAAAACCCAGAAAATGCCATGTGGCTGGCTTATTGGCCATGCATCACATGATTGACTACCAGTATTCGGTGGTTTTATCCACTCGGCTACTGGTGGGCACTTATTAGAATTAAGAAAGTACCATTTGGAAATGAAAAAACTCAAGCTATTAGATGTAAATAATTAATTAAATACTTATGTAGTTTTTACAGTGTAACATTTTTCAACTCCACATACCAGTGCTACAGTAGTGTAGGGAACATAACTGGTGCCCGGGGCACAACACTTTATTGGCACCCCCCTCCAGAAACACATATAGTTTGTCTTGGAGACCATTTGGGCAACCCTGTGTGAGTGGTACCCGGTGAATGATACACCCCTCGCTATGCCACTGCAGTGCTATGTGCTACCTGTCTCAATAATAATATAGAATGTCTATATTCACTTAATTACTTCTAAAATGATATAGTGTGAAGTAATCATTTTTGTTTTTAATTATATCTGTTTTTGTATGAATTATATTTAGTTAATTATTTTTTAAATTTTTTGCCAATAGATGGCACTACCTGTAAATCCAGCAAATCGAACAGAGACAGAAATTGATATATAGAAAGCCAATCAATATTTTGGAGTGGCACATAACATTCATCTAACAGATAATATCGTAACGTAACTGCCAAGTTTTGTAACAATTGACATAAAAACCTCCTAAAGAGTTTACAGTGAACAAACAGCCTCATTTATATATATATATATATATATATAGAAGATATACAAGATCTTCCAAAAAGAATGCTACCATTTTAAATTATTGTTACAGTAATTTTTATTTCCGTTTCATCCATAGGCAATACAGAATACAAAGTTTTGATTAAATACATTAGCCATATATTGTATAATTGTAAACTAGAAGAATATATCAGTAGCGTGCCATCATTGGAAGTGGTGGAAGTGCCGCTTCCCTTGTATTTTCTAAAAAATAAATACATATTGCGCGATTATTTTCATGTTTTAACATATTTTGGATTAATTAAAATTAATATTTTATTATAACCGCATTATGTATCTTATTACAAATTTCTGTGCTACATGTGAAAAAAACGATAAGATTGCTATTGTATATTCAAATATCAGTGGCAGAATGAAAGCGAAACCGGGTCAGCTTCCAAACAGCCAGATTCGCGCATGCACTTTACACGCTAACCTCACCCGGTTTAGCTGATGGAAGCTACACACATATAACGCTTCCAATGATTCTATCCCTGACCAGTTCTGGGCTGTTAGCCACCTGCTTGCTAGATATTTGGCCACCTTGGCCCGATTATATGAATCATGAGTAGATTTATAACTTAACCCAACCGATAGGAATTTACTGGTATGTTTTTATGATAGTTCTGTATGGTTGACAGGAGTTTTAAAAAATCCATTAAAATATTTGATATTTTTATTCTGCTCTCCCATCTTATATTACAGATTTCAATGTTAAACCAGTGATATTACGATTTCGTATGTCCCATCTATAAGGGGATGTAGAAAAAAACGTGTACAATGTTAAAAAATTAACTGTTACTTTGGTAGCATCATTTACAACTAAATTTAATGAATGAGAGAGATGCAGAAGGTATAGAAAAAGCTCTAGAATTTATATTCCTTAAATTTACAATCTATGTATTTGTTGTCATAAAAATTTGTCTTTCCACTTTTTCCCAAGACTACAAATATTCGAGTACAAAGTAACTGGTTTCGACTTATTTCTACTTTAGTAGTAGTTAAATAATTAAGCAATTGGGGACACAAATAAAACCCTGCTGAAAGAGCCGGAATTTTACTTAAACAAAAGCTCAACCGAGTACAGTGTGGACTGATTTCTTCATAATATTAGATGTAATAGACAGAAATTTTTCCAGTTCAATGAGAGTGACCAAAAAGTTGTAAATTTTGGAAATTTCTGTGGACACCTGGTTCTAAAACGAATTAGTTAGAAAACAAAT